AGCTAGTGTGGACCCAGGCAGACCAAAGCCCAGGTGGGCTGCGCTTGAATCCCTACCAATACACACAAGAAACCTGAAAGCACTTGTGCATGCCAGGGCTCTTGACATCTGGAAAACCAAAGGTTAAAAAATTGGAGGCATCTTCCAGGAAGATGGTCTCCCAGGATATAGAGGACAGACTTCCAGGATTTCTATTATGACAGTGAAATTTCCCTTATGTCCCAGCTGAGGCATAGAGGATTGTGAATATTCAGAGGTATCTGGCAAAGCTCCTGATAACTTCTGATCTCAGAAGGACTAAGGAAAGGGGAAGATGGAATTTAAACATTTAACTAAAAATATATGAAACACAAAGAATGGATTGTGAGAAGCTGTACATAATTTAAGTTACCTGGAATATTTTCAACTGGATTAAATACAAGGCATTCTCAGAAGAGCTTTGAGACATGCCTTGCAGGATCATCTGAGCTGGACAAAGTCAGGTCTCCCTTCATAAAACAGCCTTCAATATTGGAACCTGGTGTTATTTTCTGGAAAACAGTTGCAGTCCAGAGGAAAGATAGACAGATGAAGCAATAGGCAGAACTAAACAAAGCCCAGGTCAACAATCTGTGCATTTTCAAGAAACTGACACTGTCAGGTAATTGCTCACCGGATGTTTTATCAGGCCACTATAATGCTGTCAGTAAGAATTTTTATCTTCAGACTCTTTCCACATCCAGATAACATGCTCATGGTCAGTACAGGGTATGTTTTAATAAGATTCAGAGTGGTAACATCTGGCAAATTCACATGTCATACACTTTTTCCTCCCCATGTACAAACAGCCTGTGTTCCCATGCTTTTGTGTTTCTCTTAGATAATGGTTTTCCTCTAGCAGACCAAAAATGGCTAGTTATCTGCCAGGAATCGCAGTGCCTCTCATGATGGCATAATATGAAGAAAGGATCAGAAGCTTTCCCTGTTGGGAAACTTTACATAGGAAACCAGCTGTGATAATTCTATTGAAAGGAGAGGAGTTGGTAGTTATTTTGCTGCAAAACAGAAGGGAAAGGAAGAGAACCTTGGAAATTCACAGGAGGGTGAACAAGAACTTATTGTTCATCAAACTCCTTCCTCTGCTCCCTGGGAAGGACCTCTCAGCCAAGGGCTATGCTACACAGTGTCAAAATATGTAAAATATCTCCTAGCCATGACTGGAGCAGGTCTAAAGTATGTCACTAGAGAACTGGATGTGCATGTGGTGAGGAGCACTCCGGTATAGGTTGGGAGAAGCCAGGGGAGCCTCATGCAGAAGGGCAACTTGGCTGTCCAGGCTTGTCTTGTGCTCTAATGATAAAATAATGTTGCTTTGCACTAACTTTTCATGTCCAAGCTACTGGGCTTGGCCTCAGTGGCTGGATTCTAACTGCTACAGCAGCAGTGTGAGGTTTTAGGTGACTAAAGATGCTGATAGACGCATCTCCATGGACCTGCTGTGTCTGTCTGTTCCCTTTCTCTGCCTGTGCTCTTGCCTGGACTCTGACAATTGCCTGCAGAAGGGGCAAATGAAGTGGAATTTGCTGTGGTCCTAAAGGACATATAGGGTAGTGAGGAGTGGTATTTAGCAAAAAGGGGTATGTTGAAGTTTGGGGACAGGTGGAGTGCTTCAACAGATGATCCTTATTAGACAGCTGTGCTCCATTTAGCCTCCTCTCCTTGTGATAGTGGTAGTCACACATGTACAGCACTCTGTTTTCTTCCTACTTCTGAGTGGCTGAAATGGATTAAGAAAACCTTTTCTTGAATTAAATAATAGAAATGTAAGCACTAACTAACAGGCAGTGCTCCCTGGAAGTTAAAGGAGGAATTTAGCTGATTTAAAAACTGAGCTGAGCAAACAACTAGCAATGAACTAATTGTCTAAAATATTGTTCATCTGCATGGGAACAGTTGCAATATATTTTCACAGGAAGGTTTGAGGAGCTGAGCATGAAGTGCAAGTCACCTTCAGGTAGGGAGCTGTACAGCTCTAAGGGTCTGCATTCTGCTGAGCGGGGCACAGCTGGGCTCAGGGATGGAGGAGAAACCCCACAGAGTAGAGAGGGGACTGATGTCCATCTCTCAAAAGCCATATTAAATTCAAGGGGTCTTTCCTGACAAAGGCCTAGCAAAATAGGACATCATGAACCTCCACCATGATGGCCTTGGTCTCCCACTGGTCCAGAGTGGTTGGAATGGGAGGACAGTGGAAGAAGCAGTCCTGTTGCATGCACCTCTTCTACAAAGAGGCAGGGCACCTCGTGTTTAATCCTGTCTGCAGCCTCTGCAAGAGGCAAGGTCTGTTAATTCTTCTTTTTGAAGAGAGGAAGACACTAAATTTCCAGGAGAGTGACTCAAGAAGTTCACCTGCTGAAGGAATTTGAATCGGCATCTGGATTCTAGCTGCTGTAGGAGAACATCCAGGATGTTCCTCTAGGATATCTGGTAATGCACAATTGTCAGGAACAGCTTAGGGCCACTGTGCTGCAAACTCTTCTTAGCTCTGCTTCCTGAATCAAACTGAAGTCACTGGCTCAACCCACAAAATGAACTGAGAGCAGATGTGAGAAATTCCAGTGTCAGTGTTTTGGGCCATAACCACAATTGCAGGCATAATTAAGATTTTCCTCCATGTCTCTTAAATGGAAATATTAGATTAATTCAGCTGTGCTGTAAGAATAACTGCAGAGTCTCTGGAAGATGTGCTGACATGGAAAAGGTCACTACACTGCCATTGGATTGTTATTTCACTTACTTTACCCAGTGGTTAAAATTGACATTTTGTGTCTTTCCCAAACCACTCATCTTCAACTGTCCAGGCAGCCAATAAGGCAAAATAAATGAGAATTGTCAGAAAGTTGTACCATTTAAGGCTTTTTATCATCATGCAAAATCCACATCTTCATTAATCACCTTTTTTCAAATGGAGTTGGGGACTGGATTTTCTGCTGCTAAGTACTCAAAGGAGTTATTAAATCTCTGGCTGTCTGCTTCTTCCATCTGTTCCCATAAAAATGAACTGCAGTTAGTATTTCAGGGAATGCTACCATAAACAGTGAGGGGGAGCTTAGAGTTTGAGTGGCAAAAATAAAAATTCAAAATTCTTGTTAATCAGCTGTCCCTGTACTTTGAGAGAATTAAGGCAGCAGAAGTGAGACGACACAGCAAGTAGAGATTGAAAAAACGTGCTGCCCTTCTGGATCCAGAAGTCTGCTGTTGGCTAGATGTTAGGATAATATTGAATACTTTGTTTTATTTTTAAGGGGGGCACTCCCAGTGGCACATGCAACAGCCAAGGAAGTAGTTAGTAATATGCAGCATTGCTACCATGTGTGTGGACAGGCTGTGATATGCGGCCCTATAACTGAAATACCCCTCCAAATAGCCTCTATGGCCCCCTTCTGTATCTGCTTAGTACCAAGTAAAAGGGATCTCCAAGTCTTTATTTGTATTTATTTATGCTGGGATAAATTCTTGCTGTTGATTTCCTTCTGTTTCTCGTAAGTGGGATGGGCTGAGGTCCTTGGGAAGGAAGAGTTGCAGAGTGTCTGAACTGAGGCAAAAATGATGATTTGGGAAGGGCTCACTGACTGGAAGGGGTTGGCTTTGACATGCCTGAACTGCCCAGGAGAAAGATGATAAACAGAATGAGGATAGTGATTGCTTTAATAAATGAAGTGGAACATGTGTGCAGCTGATACCTCCAGGGGCTGATGTATGCCAAGAAGCCTGTTTCTAACATCTTAGAGCTGCTGAAGAGCAGATGTTAAAACCAAATCAATATATCTTCTGATGCTGCTGTCAGCCTTCTTGTAGTAGGTAGTCTGGTGAGGGGGGAAAATACATGCACATGCATATATATGTGTATATAATGGTATATTTGTACATAAATGCCTAGCAATAGCCAATTTAGCATTGGAATCAATACCAAATGGTGCTAGAGTAACTTGGATAAAGAGGACCTTTCAGTGGCTGATATATGGTCTCCATGATCTAATAATTTGTCTAATGTAAGACAGTTGGCGACTCAAGTCTGATGCAGTTTGTTCTGTCATACTACACTTAACAGGCTTTCCAAACCCCACCAAGGCCTTTCTGAGCTGTGAAGTTACTCTGCAAGCTCACTGAGGGACTCATCACAAAGGTTAATGTTAGGCCTGCAGCATTAAGCAGAACTTCATCTAAAACAGGATGGTAGCTTGGAAGAATAAGGGATTGTGACCTCTCTGATGCACTGATCTTCTGACAGACTGTGAAAAATACCAGTTATGGTGCTACTGAGTATATTTGAAAGCTTCTCATTAAACAATGTGAAAAATGCTTGTTGGAACCCCAGGAAACTTCACATCAAGAGACCTCCTGGGCACATATGGCAAATAAGGTCTCATTTTAAGTGCTGCCATCAGTAGATTATGAGGATAGCAGTAACTCTAAAAGCATGCACCATTTACCACAGATGTCTGTTTTGGTTTTTCCCTCAATACCTCTCCAAAGTAGCTAACTCCACATATATGGACTTGGAAGCTGAGGAACTTCCAACTGTTGTGTTTATTTAGCCATTTGCCAGAACACCAGTTGGAAACAGTAGGTTTTTGGGTCACTTCTGTTTCTGTCTCAAGAGCAGGGCTCTTTCAGAAAGCGAAATAGTCAGTTAGATTGTTACAAAATAATTCTCTCCTAAATTACAACTCAAATATGCAACGGGGACTCTGTTGCTCCAGCCGCGCGCGCGCCCCCTCCCACTAAGGGCCGCGGTCGCGCCGCGGCGTCTCTGCACGACAGGCGCATGCGCGGGCGCCCTGCGCATGCCCAGAATGGAAGAGGCCTGGCGGGTCAGGGGGTAACAAAATGGCTGCGCCCATGCGTGTCCGCGAGGGCAGGCTGCACCGCGGGGTTTAGCGCCGTCCTCTCCCGTCGGGGAAGGGGCTGTGAGTGCGGCGTGCGCGGAGCCCCCTCCGCCGGAGCCGCGCTACCTCCGCATGGAGCCGCGGGAGTCGTGGGCGGCCTTGGCGGTGAGTGTGCGGGCATGGGCCTGCTCGTTGCTATGGCGACGCAGCGGCCTAGTTCCCGTCTCGCCCCCAGGGACGCGCTGGGGAACTCAGATGGGGCAGTGCGATGAAATAAACCCATAACCTCAAAGTTTTATTGGGGATATCCCGCACCTGCTGAAGATATTTTAGCCGCAATCCTGGTATTGCCGTTGCTAAACTGAAAAACAGCTGATTTTTTCTCCTTATCAAAAACTCATCACGCTTTGGTGCTGGGAGCCCCCAGGTGTTGCAGTGCTCTGGCAGCAGCTCTATTAGCTGCCTCATGAATTTAAATGGCCTTCCAGGTACCCAAGTCTGAAATCCACAGAAGCAATTAGCAAGTTTTGATGCATGTTGTGACAGTTGGGTAGATTAAATCTGATCAATGTTATTTGGAGCAGATAAGAACTTTGATGGAAAAGGATTGGGAAAAGCCAATGCATGCAAAATAGCCAAGTAGATTAAAAGAGTAATTAATTTATTGATTAAAACCTTAGGAGTAGATAGTGAACACCTCTCTGAATGCTCTGTTGGGAGTGGAAGAAAGTTGAGTAACATGCAGGGTTATAAGATTTTGTTTTCAGGCAGGGTCAAATATCTGTGCTGTGCCTTGGGTGCTGCTCTACATGGGGTACATTTCAGCAAACTAAGTCTTCTTGTCAAAAAAGTAATGCATCCAAAAATGCATCATAATGGATTCATGCAAACTATTGACTTATTTAGGTTGAGGTTTTCTATGTATTTCAATCTTGTCCTCCTGTTTTTACTTTCCAAAGCTTGTTAAAGCTTTGCTTCTTATCTCCTGAAACTGGTTCCAAAGCTGGGATATTTATTACTTTGTCTCCTTTGTTAAAGCTTCCTAGTTATTGCTATAAAAGCTATTGAGGTTTGTTTAAATTTATGAGACACAATTTGGGCCCAAAGTGGATATATACAGTTCAGGAGTACTTTGGTTTAGGCATCACTCGGTCGTTCACATATGCACTGCTCTTTCTCTCTGTGGATATTAATTCATTTTACTACCTGGTTTTATTTCAAAGGCTGGTGGAGTTGCTGGTGTCTGCGTTGACTTGATCCTTTTTCCCCTGGATACTGTGAAAACCAGGCTGCAGAGTCCCCAGGGATTTCGGAAGGCTGGTGGCTTTCGTGGCATCTATGCTGGTGTTCCTTCCACTGCTATAGGATCCTTTCCAAATGGTAAATTTTGTCTGGATTATGCTTTCTTCCTCTTTAAATGGGAGCTTATGTAGCATTGGACATCCCTGTCTGTGGCTTCTTTTGTGCAGGTGATTGTGTGTTTGGATTCTGAGAGGAGCAGGCTTCTAGAATTACAGAGTATTGAGCAAATTCTGGGTAAGACCTGGAGCCTGGGCTTTAGAGAAGCCTGGACCACTGTAGAGGGGACAGTGTGTGTCTGATGTGAAGGCAGTTAGTTGTTCTCTTACAGTGTGCATTAAGTGCTTGTATAAATCTCACCACTGTGAGCCTACTTCTATGGTAAGAGTAGTTGGTGTAGCTCAGCAGTTCAAACAAATGTAAAACAAACAAATCCTAAAAAATTATCAAGTGGTGTTTAGTTGTCAGTATATAAATGCTGTGGCCCTTCTTTACATGTCCCAGGCACACAACCCCTATGGAAGTGTCCTTGGATGTGTGTTATTAGCCTATTCTTACTTATAGGAATATCCTAAGGCACTTCCAGCTGTCAAAGAGATCATAAGTCCTGCTTTACATGGACACTTGCGCCACTGTATATCTTTCAATGTACTGGAAATGCCTAAGAATTCTTCAAAGTGGTTAAACATTGGGCATCTTTGAGCTACTTAAATGTATCATTGAAGATTTCTAATTTTGAAATTGAAATTTTTAAAAGATAAATACTTGTAGTCCCTGCAGAGAAAAGGCATCTACAATTCCAAAGACCTTTTGTCGGTTTCTTCTTTGTACAGAGCAGGGGAAGAAAAAAATCACCAAGCTAAGCTGTCAGTAGTAAGTATTAGGAGAAGTTTGCTGACAAATCCACTGGCACCTTCAAATGTTTGATGTCCTTCAAAAGATGATATAAAAAATGTCAGTTCTTTATCTCGTCTCCTCTGTTATCTCATTTTGAGGTGATAAGCATCTTTTGATTAGCAGCAGAAGGCAATTCACGTAGTCCTTTACAATTAAAATCTGTTCCCCCGTGAGACATGTCAGTTTTTTCAGGCTTTGCATCTTTAAAATCTGAACTGTGTTTTTATCTTTATGGTGTAAGACCAAGAACTGAAATTCCCTTTAGGAGAGGGAGTAACCCTTAAGGTGCAAATGCCTTTGTAGTTGACTGTTGCAGTGGAAAAAAACATTGTTTCTGTTGCTCCTTTTAGATTTGTATATTGTCCACTGGACATAGTACTTGAGAAAGTTTGAATATTTTGCTTTCTGGAACTTAATTGTGAAATGTTCAATTGATTATTGCAAGGAAGATGCTATTAATTGCTACTGAAACACTTTTGCAGCATAGCAGACTTGTATTGAGCACCTTCCTTCCTTCTGCTGACTTGCCAATTGCTCCATTGAACTTTTTACAAAAAGACCAGTCACAAAATTCAACCAGGCTGGAACAACCTCATCTCTACCCTTTCAGTCTCCAAATGTGGAGAATATGACATTTCAAAACCTACTGCATCATCAGGAATGTTTAACACATCTCATTTTTAAAAAAAAAAATCTCAGTAGTAAATATTCTCTTCAAGTCTAGTCACCTTTGATATTGGTGGGAGGTTTGCCAATGATAACTTCCTTGAGAAGTTTGTGCCTTTAGTTATTTGCAGGTTGTGTTGATACTGTTGTGTTCTTATGGGAGCATAAATACTTTTTTTTCAAAATTAGTACTGGAATAATAAGCAACAAAATCCACTTCTGAATGTTTTTTGTATTAGTTCTGTGATGGAGGAACAGTTAAATGACTGTGTATTTTGAATTTCAGCGGCTGCTTTTTTTGTCACCTATGAATATGTTAAGTCTGTGCTGCACCGTGGCTCTGCATCATACTTGTCTCCTGTAACGCACATGGTGGCTGCCTCCTTTGGAGAAGTGGTAAGAAATAAATTAACCTATTGTGGGAGGAGAGGAAACAATTAATATATGAAAACTCAGATTTGGTGTCATCAGTTACTTTTCTGTGTGTTGACTATCTTCATACTTGTGACATTTATTACAAAAATATTAGTTCTTTCTAAATAACTGTTGATATGATTGAAAGTTTCATGTGAGACTTCTTTCAAAGTGTGTTAATGAGTTAATAGTAACTCCTAGTAGGCTTGTTAGCAGAGCTCATTAAGTTGGTAGGTAAGGGACATGTGTCACTAATGCATGGTTGTATCTTCACATTTTTGTGTTTTTTGTGTCCATGCTGAAATTCAAGAATTCCTTTCCTTATACAGTATTTCAGCTCATGTGAGCTAGCTGTGAAAAAGTTTTCATTTGCAGTTTTTTTACAATTGTGACACAATATCTTATACACGTGGTAGAAAATTCTCATAATTTGAAACCCATCTACCTTTGCTTCTAGTAGCCAGTGTTAATTAATATTTATAGCCTATCCCTTTCCCTCCATGTATTCAGATTCAGTGAACATCTTTTCCCCAAAGATAGTTTGTCATATTGATGAGAAGACTTTCTTGCATTTATAAACAGGCTCTACCGATGGATGTATAAAGTGACATGACAGGTTGGGGCATCTGGCAGCTGTGTAGTTTCACTTGCCAGATGATGCGTAATGCCTTCCTGATGAAGCCTATCTCAGTGGGACGGGTAACCTAAAGAAACATTTTTTCCTTGGAATGTATGTCTGTATTTTAGTGGCAGCTTTTCATATGTGTTTGTGTATATGTATTTATTCTTATATTTTCCCCTAATAGTTGTAGCTCTATGTAGTTTAATGTACTGGTTGGGTACTTAAAACATATGAATAATGGATCGAAACATATAATGACAATTATTTCTATATGTAAGCTTTTTAAAAGATTTTCCCTCCACTTTTTGGAGAAATTGCTCTGTTTCTGGTCTGTTAAACTTAAATGTCTTTATAACAGGATCTGCAGCCACAAGCAGTGACTCGCTCTACTGGGTTCATACAATGCCCAAAATGGACCAAATTCTGTCAAACATTTTAGATGCTCAGTAAGGGAGATTGCGAAAGAAGACTTCCTTGTTTTGACACCTGTATTGCCCTTGGCTTGTTAACACCATGGATCTTGCAGGAATTCATTGCTTCTTTACAAAATTCTAAGTTCCAAATGAAATAGCACTAACCAATTGGATTTGAGTACCGAAATACCTCTGTTCTCTTGAGTTTCCACCCTCAGTGTAATTTCCCAGTTTATACTGACCCTTCTTTAGAGGGGAGAAAGATTTTTCAGCACTAAGAAAATATCAAGAGTCTACTTGAAAGTGCCTTTAATTTCATTGCCAACATGCAGTGCCAGGATGAGTGGACAATACACAGATCCAGATCCACTGAGTTGAGAGTTCAGCAATGGCAAGAACTAGTCAGTGTCGTTTCAGTAACAGGAAGGAACTTCTTGTGTACACAGTGTGCAGCAACACTGGCACTGCTCTGGGCTAGGTGTTCAGCTATAAACAGTCACCTGCTGTCCCTGCCAGCACTGTCCACCTCATTGCTCTTGGTTTTGGCACTAGATGTTTCTTGGCCCTGCAGTGATGAAATGGGATGTCAGCTGTTCTCTCTCTCCACAGTTTTAGGCAGGGATGATGGGCTGAACTGAATTAATTTCTCTGGCTTATTTGCAATTTCAACTTAGCCAGTGACATGGAGCTGAAAAATGTATTGTGCCCTTGATTCCGTATTCTGCTTTTATGAAGTGAAGTGAGGTTTTTGTATCTTGTGAAATTGCGAATGCTGAAGCACATGTGAAGGAGAGAAAGAGGAGCCACTCTCCTCGATGGCCTTGGTAACTTGGCCCAAGTTCCTAGAGGTGCAGAAGAACTACTTCCACCTTAGCTTTGCTACTGGGTGCCTCAGCAGCATGGCCTAGCTACCCCCCAGGGCAAGTGAGCAGCAGTGCAGCTGTTCCTGCTTGCCTTGAATTCAGCCTTGTTTTCCAAGTGATTTTTATTCTGCTCTGGGAATGAAGCTGGTAAAGCTGAATGTGACCATGGTTTCTCATACCAAGCACAGGAAGAGAGCTGAATGCAGCATCTTTGCCGGTTGCTTTGGCAGTGGTTATAGGCAGGAATAGATGGAAGGTGATATAGGTGTAAGGGTGGGTGGTGTGCTTCTGCATTGCCTCCTTAGGCAGAGTGGTTATGATCTAGACCGGGCTCTGTGTTGTCAGGTTGCAGCTTCTAACTCAAGGCAATGCATAGAATTTGTTTTGCTGGAATCAGCAAGAGATTTTTCAGCACCATGGCAAAATGTAGCTCTTAACTGCCTTGTTTGCCCAGTTGACTCATGGAACAGCAGTCCTAAGAGCTTTCTTAAGCTTTCCAAGTGGACTGCTCTGTTTCAGATCTGAGAAATTATGGTTGGTTCCATGAAGAGGTGCCAGTGATACAAAAAAACACAGTAAGAACTTCTTTTTTTTTTTTTTTTTTTTAAAAAAAAAAGTGTTTTATTTTGTGAGTGGATTTTTTTATAGTGCACTTCCTCTGTCTGCGAGGATTCTGTAAGAAAACCATGGTTGGACAATATAATCATCAGCAGCTAGAGAACAGTTGGTTACAGATGACTCCTTGTGTGATTGCAGACCTGTTGTCTGCATATTCCAAGGGGGCTCCTATGAACCAGGGCTGTCCTGCCTTGTTTTCAGCCGGATGAGCTGAGGTGCAGCACAGCTGAGTGACTTGCTCAGGGCTGCCTATAGCTGTGCTTCGAAGGCAGGGCTCTTGCCACCCTAAGGCCAGCAAAATCTATAGTGATGGCCATTGAAATACATATATCATATGAGGAAAGACTAAGCGAGCTGGGCCTGTTTAGCCTAGAGAAGAGAAGACAGAGGAGATCAGAACAATATGTGTAAGTACCTGAGGGGAGAATGTAGGGAAGAAGGCACCAAACTCTTCTCAGTGGTGGGCAGCAACAGAACAAGGGGTAATGGGCACAAATTGAAAAACAGGAAGTTCCACCTCTGTGTGAGGAAGAACTTCTTTACTGGGAGGGTGACAGAGCCCTGGAACAGGCTGCCCAGAGAGCTTGTGGAGTCTCTTCTGAACCCGCCTGGATGCTGCCCTGTGCCATGTGCTCTGGGTGTCCCTGCTTGGGCAGGGGGGTTGGACTGGGTGATCTCTAGAGATCCCTTCCAACCTTAACCATTCTGCAATTCTGTGAAATAGCAGTGTGACCTGATGGCTTGGAAAATGTGTTGTTGAAATGACCATTTCTCAACTAATAAAATTCTACTTTTTGCCAGCCTTCTGTTTCCCACTGCCCTCCTACCCCTAGTTCCTTCCCTTTCTTGGCACAGTGGGGAAACTAAGCTGTAAAATAATTGAGGCAGGGATTTGCTGCAACAAACCCATAATAAAAATATCACAAAGCGAGATCTTATCACATTTATTTTATATCAAGTCTTAGCTGATTGATCAATCTCTATGTATATTAAAAAACTATTTCAAATTACATCAGAGTGAAAGTTTATAATTATAGTTTTATTGATTGGTCTTTAAGATTTAATCAAGACATATCCACTGGGACAATTATTTTGTCAGTAGTTCTTTTGTTTCATACACACTTTTCCTCCTTGTACACTTTAAATAATTGCTTTTATATAAATTGCTTTTAAATGTAAGATAATAAGACAAAGACTCTGTCATGCTAGAATTCCCCAGACATCTCATGTTTTCAAACCATCTTTCTGCAGAAAGGAGCATTAAGGTTTAGAAGAAGAAACTGGTTTTGGATTCTTAAATTTGCTGCTCATTCACTGGTGAGCATGTATGATTTGGCAGCCTTCCTGTGTATCAGTAAAATATGAAGACTTGCTAAGTGTAAAGTTGTGTGAATGCTGGCTAATCTGTTTTGAATGAGTGTTAGCAGAGTGAGCCCTGTTGAAAATAATAATAGTAATAATACAAAAGGTAATGGTTGAAAATGCAAGGGTCTCATCAGGATGATAACTATGAGAGAAATCAGACAAAGGGGAGTTCTTTTTAATAACAGGCATTCTTGTATTTTTTTTTAACAACCTCTAAAAAATCATGGGAAAACAGTCCTCTAGAATTGGTTGATCTGATTTCCTAGTTGTGGACTGGGAGGCACAAAATCAAGCTGCAGAAAGACAGCAGCCATAGTGTGTGTTTTCCTTTTAGACTTGGGGAACAGGGAAGGCTAATCTCATCTCCAGCAGTGAGATAAAGAAAAGTACACACAACATCTGACCCTGTTAAACATAATTATTTTTTCCTATAACTGAATCTTACTGTATAGGGACTCTGAATATCCCATAATACATGAGAAATTACTTACAAAAGCAGAGCCAAAACTCCAGAGGATAGATACAAACTCTATCATATCATCTCATCAAGGAAGAATGAAGGTTGAAGAATACAGGAGTTACCAAGGGGGAAAAACCCTAAGTATATCTCTATGTATAACTGAAATTCAGAGTTAGGAAACACATTTACTGCATCCAGGGCATTGAAATTTTTCATCTTGACTCTGCATTGCCCTGTATGTTTAGTCTGCCTGTATCTTTATAGTGAGCTGCCAAAAGGGCTTGGAAAACATGATATCATGGTGGGTGGAAAGGAAAACCAGATGTTCTGAAATTTTACTTTTAATATTCTGAGATGGTGTATCTTAAAGAAGGAGCAGTAATTTTAACCTCCTAATGTCCATTTTAAGTAGTAACAGGGTGCTTATTGCAAATTCAGTTAATTGATTGTTTTTTTTTATGTCAGCTTCATAGTAAAGCATATATACTATAATTACAAGAAACCTGTGTAACGACAAGTCTCCCTCATG